CTTATAACAGTGTAACAAATGCAGGTACCCACCATCAGGCAGGGCAATCCTAATGGTGGGAGCTCAGAAAAGCCTGAAAATCATTTACCCTACAGTTAGTGAGTGAGTGAGGTAGATATTTATCTCATTTCTATTTTAGTTTGGCTAAATCATTAGGATCTTCAAATGTCACTTTTAACTTTCTACTAAAATATTATGAATTCCAGGAAGAGCAAAAATAAAAAAGCATGCATACTAGAAAGGAAGAAGTAAAATTTTCTCATACTTGACATTTGTAGACCATCATAAGGTGTCTACAAAAAGCTATGAGAATTCATCGTTTTAGCAAGATCAGAGGATAAAGAGTGAATATACAAAAGTCGGTCATCTTTTTATATACTAGGAAAACAATTAGAAATTTAAATTTTAAAAGTACCATTTATAATAATTAAAAAAGTAAAATACTGAAGACACAATCTAACAAAATACATGCAAGATTTTCACACTGAAAAAAGTATAGAACTTTCCTGAGGATAATTAAATAAGTTATAATAAAATGGATATATATATATATATATATATATATAGTATGTTTGTGGATTAGACAACACAATATTGCTCAGCCAACAATATTCCATAAGATGACCTGTATATCTGACACAATCACCAGGCATTTTTTGTGGGAATTGATAAACTGCTTATAAATTATACATAGGAATTCAAGGACTGAGAATAGCGAAAATAATTTCAAAAAAGAACAAAATGGGAATATTTAAGTTACCTGGTTTCCATGTGGAGTGTAGGAACTGAGACTATAAATCTCCTATAAGAAAGTGGAAAATGCTTCCAAAGTTGGAATATAAGGTGAATATATATGTGTGTGTGTGTGATCATACAAAGATACAAATATGCATAACATGTATGAGCTAATTAGATAGATGCTCAATATCATTAAATATCAGAGAGTCACTAATTTAAATTACAATGAGATCCACTGCATACCTATAGGGGTGGTAATTAAATCGACAATATCAAATGCTGACAATGCAATATATTTCAGGTTTCTTGCTGGTGGTAACACAAAATGGCACATCATCTTTGTAGAAGTATTTAGCATTTTCTTGCAAAGTTAATTACACACTTACCCAGCAAACACATATCTAGGCATTAATCCAGACAAATGAAAAAAATGTCCTCATTTATGTTTGCATATAAATGTTCATAATAGTTTTATTCATAGTAAATACAAGTCATGAATATTTGATGAATTGATGAATAATGAATTCCACTACATAATGAAATGGAATGTTGATGCCCACAAAAACATGAATGAATGTCAAGAATATTATGCTACACGCAAGAAGCCAGAACCACAAGATTATTTATTGTTTTATTGCACTTCTGTGAAATTTTAAAGATACAAAAGTGCAGTAAGAGAAAGCGGGAAGTTGATTACCAGGGAAAGGGGTAGGGAGGCAATTAACTGCAAAAGGGCAAATGATAATTTTGACATTGGGGCAGAGAGATGGAGGGAATGTGTGAGAAGGGATGAAATATGTTGCATCTTGATTGTTGTACTACTTTACACTAAATTGTAACTCAAAGCTGATTAATATGAAACAAAGCACACTCACTGAAAAGAATAAATCAAGCCTTAGAATGAAAGAATCTCAAGTTGTTGTTGGGAGACAGTTTAGAGATGAATTTTTAAAGTCCCAGAGAAGGGGGGAAGGGGACAGGAAGTTGGAGAAAGAGAGAAGTTAAAAAGATTCAATGTGGGGGGCCTCCCTGGTGGCTCAGGCGGTTGAGGGCCACACTGTGAGGCAGTCTGCAGCCTCTGCAATGCAGGTTTGATCCCAGCTGGCCGGTAAGAATCCCACGTGGCGCAGCAGACCTTTCCTGTCTCTCCTGCTGCTCCCCTCAGCAGTGTATTTCGTCAGTCTGCCTGTTCTGTTCCCAGCTCTGCCTCTGGTGACTCCTCTCACCCTCCCGCGCATCTGGCCTCTACCCCTGTTCTTGTGTAAAATTAATAAAAAAAAAAAAATTCATCTATTTAAAAAAAAGATTCAGTGTATTCAAAATTGCTGTCTCTGATGACTAGAGTCACCAAGGTATTTTAAAATCTTGGTGTAGATCAGATTTCTAATTTTTGTGATTTTTACAGAAAAGCCTGAAATATTAGTGAAGATGTTTCCTAGGGCATAAAGGAAGCAAACCAGTCCAAGGAATTATGAATATACTGTAAGCCAAGGAGACTGAATTTAGTATTGGAAAAATATTGATCCTCATAGAACCAATTTGAAGACAATGCAGCAAACAGACTAAAGTTAGCTTGGTAGAAAACCAACCACATAAGTCTTATGAAGTTCAGGACCTTATTCTAGAATGCCCCACAGACGGAAGAGAAACTGACACACACTAGCACTAGAACCCGGGTTGACTTCCTTCTAATTCAGCACTTTCTCAATTCTGTCACTTGTGGCCTCTTCCTGATATGAGCCAACATTATACTGAGAAACAAAGATGTTGATGTTAATTAGACTACTGTTGAGTTCCATTTTAATGTTAGATAAGATTGTATACCTTTTTAATTGATTCGGAAGGTAGCACAAGGTTGGAAGTTAGAAAAATATAAAAGTAAAAGAATTTGCACTAATGAGACTAGAGAAAGAGAAGAGCCAAGGACTGTCCTTACAGGGCTAGGACTGGCTCCTCTGTATTGATTGCTGTCACCGCAGGCAGGTCCTCTCCTTGCCTCATTTTCTTATCTCTAAAATGAAGATAATAATATGGATCCATTATCTGTTATCTGCAATTCTGAAATTCACAGAGCTCTGAAAACCAAAAGTTGGTTTTGTTTTGATTTAATATCTTAAGTTCCTGGCAAACTCATTTGGTGGTGAAGTTGGGTCTGAACTGTGAGCTTTATAGCCATTGTACAGTTAAGAGAAAATTCTTGTATTTTGCAGAAATGCTGAGGGGTCATTAAGGGATACTGTCCCAAATCCTACTCAGGTGTTCATAGTATATGCTATATGAACTTTACTCCCTTTCTATAATCTAAACAATTCTGGATTCTAAAACATCTGGCCTCTAGGGTTTCAGATAAGAGATTATATACCTTTAAGACCTTCCGCATAGGTTGTATAAGGATGAATTTCTTGCAACAGAACTCAGAAAATAGTGAACTATTATTATTTATCATAAAATTACATTCTCCACCCCTATCTCTGAGAATGAGTGAGGATGAACACTTGATGGCGCCTAAATTTAGTCTCAGAACTTTTATATTTTAGTATGTCAAACTTGACATATAGTATATCAATTACTGAAATGGAATGTTTCTCATAACTGTCTTACTCAGAGCACTTTTTTCTTGCAATCTTTACATTCTTGGAAGGACACTTTATTTGCCTGCAGGTGTTAGCTGACAGACTTATTTTTCAGTCATCTTTCCTAAGGTGCATCTTATGAAACTCTTAGTTAGATTATATTATCTCCTAACTAAAATGCAAACACATGAAGATGGTTATATACTTGGAATTCTCTACAAAAGCGAGATCATTAAAGACAATGTCTTTGTAGATTCATTGGTTAAAAACACTAGAACAAAAATATCCATCTAGATTTCATTCAGTGTTTCCCAAGTAGAACTTTATTTCTGTGGTTGATGTTTGGCATGCTTCCTATTTCTTTCAGCTATGCAAAACTCTTTTGCTGTGTTTAATCCTTGACCTGTGGGCATGGAGAACTGATTATGAAATATACTTCTTGTATTGGGAAATTTTTAACTGAAAATTTCATATAATAAAATACTTGGGAGAAAAAAAGAAAGATTACTTAAATAAAGATTATGTTTCAAGAGGAATAAATAAAGAAACTATTTTTAAATGTACATTTTGGTAGGTCATTTACCTTTAGTTAGAGCTGTGTTGAAACATAATCATGAACTTCTTTTTCATTCTGACTATTATTTCCCAGTGTCTTTCCCCTGGAAGAATGTTGCTGCCAATTTATGATTGCAACCTCTGTGTGTGTCTGCCTGTGTGTGTGTGTGTGTGTGTGTGTGTGTGTGTGTATGTTTACCCTTTGTTTGAGAGTTACTAGGTGCCCTGTTCTTCCCTGGCAATCCCAGTGCCTGGGGGAATGAAAGGGGAGTTAATCCTGCCATCAGAATGAGTGGGACTACACTGACTTGGAGAACCGGGGTGATAAGGTTCAATATGGTATGAGGATTAGAATGAACCTTTTCTGTACTGACTCTAAGGTAGTTCAGGGAAACAACATAGAGTAGAATCTTCTTCTTGTTTCTGGCTCTGGGTCTCAGGTTTTCTCCACCCTATTTTTCCAGTTCTGCAAAAACCAAAACAAAACAAAACAAAAACCAAAAAACAACCAGCCAATCAACTAATCAGTACTTCCTGCTAATGACTCCTTACACAGTCCATATTCTCTTCCGCTGTGATACTATGAGATAAATTTAATACTTTGGAAAGCGTTTGCTTTGTAATTTTCTAGATGGTCAGCCTAAGATAAAATCTCGTCATGCTCTGCCAGATAGTCCATCTTAAATATTTTTTTTCCATAAACCTTTTCTCTCTCTAGAGTATTACAAGAGCACTGTTAATTAGTCGGTTGACTATCACTAAATACCTAAAACTATTGCTTTTCCATTTAAGTGCTGGTACTCTATGATGCTGCTCATAGGGAAAGGTATTTAAACCCTAATGAGACTCAGTTTCTTCACACACTAAGAAGACAATAAAAGGAAATAGTGACATCAATGTGTTTTGATAAATGTGAAATCATTTGTAAACATAAGAATTTCTTTAAAATAATGTATTAGTCTGATCAATATATAACTCTCTCTAGTATGATTGCTATGCCATGTCGAGAGAAAACAGTAATGATCAGGCAGCTATAATGTTGCAAAAAGTAGACATATGTTCCCTGCTCTGTTTTGGGATGTAACAATATCTCTTGTGGTTCTTGTCTTCTCTCCATCGCCCATCTCTAAGCAGTATTCCACTGAATTGAAAAAGCTGTACTGCCAAATTGCGAAGACATGCCCCATCCAGATCAAGGTGATGACCCCGCCTCCTCAGGGTGCTGTCATCCGTGCCATGCCCGTCTACAAGAAGGCTGAACATGTCACAGAGGTGGTGAAGCGCTGCCCCAACCATGAGCTGAGCCGTGAATTCAATGAGGGTAAGGAGAATAAGAATTTGCAGCTGTTTAAATTAACTCCTTGTTGATAGAGATTCTGTGGAGATTTTTGTTTGGGACAGCGCTGCCTAGTTCCAACCACTGCAGTCTAGGAGTAACTGGGTCACTGTTTTAGATAACAGAGTATCTGAGGATACAATATATAAAAATAATTTTTAGATATACAAATAATGGATAAATATGTCCCTTTCACAATGATTGGGCTATAAAATACATATGTATGTAAAAATGTTATGAAATGAACTAGACTCACTTCTCAACTACTTATTGTTTCCTTAAAAAAAAAAAAAATGAGTGGGAGAACAATGTGGCATCTAGTCAGTTCAGCCTGGGCTAGGACATCCTTCAGCTTTAGTGTCTTTCCCAGAGTAATTTTTCAAGGCTAGCCCAATCAAAAGCTGGAGTGGTAAGAGGGAGAGCATGACAGGGGGAAATATGAAACAATTAGAAAAGGAAAATGGGAAAGAAGAAAATTAAATGAATGAAAATAATGGGTAAGAGGAATAAATGGGAGCTCTGGAACAACAGCTAGGAGGGGAGACTGTGCAGTGAAATACTAGGCACCTGGAGTAAATATCTCATAGCCCCTGTAAGCTCTGTATCCATCCATAAGTCATGCCCTGTGTTCTGAGCCTCAGATCCAGCAATAGCTTTATAGAAGAGATCGCTATTTTCCAGGGGTAGCTTATACCCAATATTCTAAGATTGTATGAAAGGAGGTTAAGTAATGTATACAGAAAAGTGTAAAAGAAGGACAGGAGAAAGTATTGGACTCATCTAAGAATGATGAGAATGCAGGAGGATTGGGAGTTAGAATATTTATATAGAAAATATATTTAAAAGGAGGAATAATTTATAGCTGAAAAGTTTGAATGATAACAATATAAAAGATGGCAGAGAAAAAATAATAGAGGAAAAGAATAGGCAGAAATTTAAATAGGGAAAATAAAGTAATATCTTCCCACTTTAACATAACTATTTTTGACACATTGCTATCCCTCATCATTATTCATATGTTTACATCTTGCTTTTAATTTCACAATATGTCTGAAAGATCATTCCATATAGCTAGAGTTTATTATTAATTTTCATAACTGCCTTTGATCCATCAAGGTGACATAAATTTTATTTTTTGTTTATCATTGCTTGATGTAATAGTTATTTTTTTAGTTCTTGCAATAAGGTATGATGCTTTACAGAGCATTTTGATACACTTGGTATTTTATTTTCATTGAATGTCCGTTTTTGTGGACTAGAAATATGCTGTTAATGGTTGAAAACACTTTTATAGCTTCCAATTTTTGAATCAGATTCTTGCTTGTGTAGCTTTGTACTTTGCCAATAATCACAGTTTTATGAAATTTTGCTTACCCTCTTTTTCAAATGTCACTCCCTTTTTATTCTCCAATTTGGGCTTTTTTCAGAATGACAAAACCAATGAGTTACTCATTTTTTATGAAGGAGAAAAGGTATATAAATGGGGGCTTTAAGATGGAGAACAGAATAGGTAAGAGGAAAGATAATATCCTTGCCATCTGTTGCCTCTTATTTAGTACTTTGGCTGGTAATTTTTGGGGCAGCATCTTCTCTCAAGCTTTTTAAATATTAATGTGCTTCTTATCCTTCCACTTTTCAGTGGAACTGGCAAAATTCCCTCTGCTGATCAGGTCAGAATAAAACCTTGAGTCATTTACCTTATACATCAGAAACCTCAAACTATTCCCATAAATATAGACAAACATTCTAGTGCTTTCTGTTGCTATAAAGGTTATGAAAATGTGTGTATTAGATGTCTGGCAACAGAGTCTGCTCCTTTTTTTAAGTATGTATGTTTCCTCTATTATACAAACTATTTCTCGTGTCACCAACTTTATGTCTATATGGTTTCAGTTGATTTTGTGTATTTGGAGTGTGCTAGAATTAACTATCTTTTATCTTTCTCCATTTTGCAGGACAGATAGCTCCTCCTAGCCATTTGATTCGAGTAGAAGGGAACAGCCATGCCCAGTATGTAGAAGACCCCATCACAGGAAGACAGAGTGTGTTGGTACCTTATGAGCCACCCCAGGTAAGAAGATAAGAACTGGATAGATTTGAGATAGCATTAATTTCAGTAATAGAGGGTGTTCTGAACATTTATTTTTCTGTTAGTTCCTATCAGCAAATATGTTACCATTTTGTGTTTTTTTCTCTTCGTCTCCTCCATAGTCTCTTTTCTCTGTGTCCTTCAAATCTCCTAAATTTGTAATAAATTAATTTGGTAAAATGGCTCCATGCCTTCTTCCCATCTTAAAAACAGATAATAATTGAACTTGCAAGTAGAATAATGTATAACATCTCATCCAGGGAATCTTAATTGGCAATTGAACCTGGTGGTCATAGATATGCATGACCACCAAGAATTTTTATACTAGCTTGAAAATGAGGAGCCAGCTAAGAGAGATGTCCTCACTGATGTGTGAATGAGGAGATGGCCATATAGAAAAGTAGAGTTGTATGGCCTGGCTGTGTGGACTTTCAGCTTGTGACACTCCTCTGGGCTCCGCTTCATATAGCCTCACCTATAAATGAGCCCTTTGGACTAGATTTAAATCTGGGGGCCTTTAAAGATATTTATACAAGTGTGCATTCAAATAAATATTGTGTTCTTTTACTTAACATAGGGGAAATATCCTGGGCATATGATTTTATACTTAGTCATTTTTTTCAGCTCTCCCTTTTCAGTGATTTTTAATATATGTCACCCTGTTTCAATTGGATGATGTGGGTCAGCTTATAAATGATTAGGGTCAAAGATAATTGTTTTGGAAGAGCATTCCTCACCTTATGTAGCGTCCATTGTTGTAAACAATGGCTTTACACTTCCCAAGAAACAAGACAAAGAGAATCTATGATGGGTTTCTGACCTGGCCTTCTCGGAAGAAAGCACATCACTTCAGCCGAAGTAGAGTTGTTTAAAAAGAAGGAAGGACTGCGAATGACAAATATCAGTTCAAACCTTTGTTAACATGGGCTTTTTTTCCCCACATATTCAGGTTGGCACTGAATTCACGACAGTCTTGTACAATTTCATGTGTAACAGCAGTTGTGTTGGAGGGATGAACCGCCGTCCAATTTTAATCATTGTTACACTGGAAACCAGAGAGTAAGTGGCATAAGCAGAATTGTCATTCTGCAAAACCATGGGCAGAGGGCAAAGTGAAATTATGTCTGCTTTATCATTACCTTGGCATGCACAGCAAAGAACTACCCTTGATTTTGTCCTTTGTGCTTTAAATCCTTGCTGCAAACACTTACATAAAAGATCTAAGAAAGTGGAGACAGAACGGGTGGATAAAGACAGAGGGGGAAAAAAGAATCAGGGAGGTGTGCAAGTCACTTCATACCTGAATTCTTGACATTTGACTGGAATAGTTTCTTATTAGACAGTGTTTGTTTTCATGGGGCCCCCAAGGCATTTAACAGTTTCTTTGAGTAAGTCTGGGCTGCCTACGGGGATTTTATCCTGAGACATCCACTGGCTTAACTCAAGTTTCCTTCAAAATATGTAGCTAAATACAGCTGTTCAGCTAATGGCTTGGAGGTTCTTTGCAGAGCAAATGGAATGTTATTTACTAACATTGCTTGTGGCGTGTTAGCACTTTTGTGTCGTGCCAAGTGCTGATGGGTCCAGCCTGAAAGCACTGGGACTGAGCTGCTGGTGGTGGTGGTGCTCTGGTGATGGCCAGGGGCGGGGTGGGGGGGTGCGCATGGCATGGGAGAACTCCAGGGGACTTTCAGAATTCTTTTAACTTAACTCTTTCTTCCTCTTTTCTCTAATTCCTAGTGGGCAAGTCTTGGGCCGACGCTGTTTCGAGGCCCGGATCTGTGCTTGCCCAGGGAGAGACAGAAAAGCGGATGAAGACAGCATCAGAAAGCAGCAAGTCTCGGACAGCACAAAGAATGGTGATGGTACGAAGCGCCGTAAGTAGCTGTAGTGGCCCAACGGGCTTGGGTTGAGTCAAGATACGGGGCTAGAGAGTATTTGAGAAGCTGCTTAATCAGACCGAAGTGTGTCAGAGAAAGTGTATGACTTGCAGCCCTAGAGCAGCAGTGGGAAGGGCAGTCGCCTTGATGTTCTCCAGGTACACACTCCAGCCTTATACAAGGGAATCATCATTTTGAGAATCTGATAGCCCAGTAGTAGCCAAAATGTGTGGGGCTGGCTCCCAGACCAGTAGCATCAGCATGGTCCAAAACCAGGTAGAAATGCAAATTCTCAGTTCCCAGTTTAGCTGAGGCAGAATTCTTGGGGTGAGGCCCTACGACCTTTATGAAGCTAGTTTGAGAGGCTAGTTTGTCTATTAATATCAGTTTTCCTTTCTGCTATTCTGAGCATGAAGGCTCACAATAGCACCTTCCTACCTCATGAGTCTGTGGGAATCATGAGGATTAAGAATGCTTTTCATAACACACCGTCTGAGCAGTATATTGATCCGGGTTTCATTGAACCTTGATGTGTATGACCCTCTGGGGTACTCAGTCACCTCATCGACAGGGAGCCTAATGATTTGGGTCTGTTACTTTTGTACTTCTTTTTGAAAAGCAGTGAATGCATGTTTTTAAATGAAATATTTCATGGGATCCACAGTGCAAGATAGATTAAGGAGAAATTGTTCCTGGTGTAGGGACAGGCACTGAGGGCAGTCTGTGGTCCCATTCTCTACTTGGAAACCCCCTTTGCCATGAGGTATATCCCCACAGAGGGCTCCCTCCCCAAGTAACAAAGAGTAGGAAACACCATATATGATCCATATATGCTTCTAACTGTGACAATTGATTCTAGAAGGTGGCTTGCCAAAGCCTGATATCATTACAAATATTTTAACCAATCACAATGTAATTTACTTATTCAGAAAGTTTTTAATATTATTCTGATTAATGACCATAAGAAACAAAAATTGTATTACTTTTTACAGAACAAAATATTTTGACAACTAGTAACCATTAACATTAACTTCTAGCTTCTTAGCATGATTTTCTTTTCCTGTTGTTCTTTCTCTGATTACTCTTCAAAAATATTTATTATTATGTATAAATAATTATGCTTCCACCCTAATTTTACTCAAGTCTGACTGATGGCATTTTCTTATACCAGTTATCTACAAATGAGTGACTTTCAATAAAAACAGATTCTCTTAATTTTGGTAGGAGATTATCTCTGTACCCTGAATCCTGGGCATAATTTCTAATAGTGAAAACCTTAGGAACTTATGAGCTAATTCACTCATCTTTCCAAAGAGAAAACTGAGGACCTGAAAAGTGAGAATATGTGCCAGAAGTTGTATGATCTTTGTACTAAAGTGAGATGGGAGGACACACAAGACTGCATGCATTACCAAGACAACCTCCACAATGCACATTTACTTCCTGGGAAGATAAATGATCTGAAAAATAAAACACAAAACCAATTTATCTTCCTTCCCTTAACAGCTGTTCACAGACCCAAGCAGCAAGGCACAGGGAATCCTGCAGTACTACTGAAGCCAAAGGCAATTTCCCGGTGTCCCCAATTTCTTTGTTTCACATGTTCTGCCTCACCCTACCCCCACCTCATTATTATGAGGTTAACACTTACTAGAAAAGCTAGCACTGCCCAATAAGTGGATGCTTAGAACTAGAAACTCTGATCTCCCAGGTTTCACTACAGCTACTTTCTGTTTAATAAATGCGTTCTTGCTTCAGAAATGTTTCCAGTATGAAACTTGTGTTTTTCCTCCATCAGCTTTTCGCCAGAACACACATGGCATCCAGATGACATCCATCAAGAAACGAAGATCCCCCGATGATGAACTGTTATATTTACCAGTGAGTTTCCATTGGGCACTCATGACTGTTTCATTTTTACCTTCACTTTTACTCTTTTGTCATCTTCTGATTATCTGTGACAATAAGGAAAGGAGTGATGGTGGCCACTGAGATAAAACAGAGAAAATATGCATTTTTAAAAAAATTAGGAAATTCTCCCTTCCCTCCAGAGTTTTAGGATAAATTAGGAGTATGGGCTCTTCTACTTACTGCTCAACCAGACCTATCCTCTTAATAGTATTATACTTACCCAAACATTTAAAATTAACTTCCATTCCATTATTTAAGAGTGACAAGATTATCCGAAACTATCTGGCTGGTTCAATTTGGAACTAAAATCTGTCAGAAAGACTTCACAACATTGATACCATTATAGAGAGATGACTCTGATTTCTTTTTAGACAGTACTATAAAAAAGCCAAGCATGGCAGAAACCTCAATTATATATGAATGGCCAGAAGACTGGGCCCAATTACGCTGTAAGGAGATCATTCATTCCCGCAGGGGGCTTTGGCCTCTTTTGGTCAATAGGGTGCCCTTTTTCAGACCACTGTTGCAGTTCCTTGAATTCTTACTATTCTGAGGTCTTTGCCATCTAGACTGGCACTAAAGTGAAGTAATCAGTATAGTCCTTGAGTACAGTCCTTGAATATGCCACCTAACTTAACCCGTGAGACAGTCAAGCAAAGCCAGGAGATTTGGAGATTTGACTGGGACTTTCCACCTGAGACTAAATCTAAAGCAATTCAGCAGGTTTGTGTAAGCCATACCTGTTTCTCTGCCTTTGCTGAGCCCTCATCCTCAGGGAAATGGATTTTTTGCTGGTAAAACAATCAATGACTTAGTAACATTCTCAGTCTCATTTCTCAGTCTACATATGGAACCAACTTTTGAAGTTTAAGTTGAAATTTTCCCCATGTATTAAATATTCTAGAAAACCTGATATTTTTTCATGCCAAAATAGAAATCACCTGAAAGTTAATTTTTTTAAGGAATTTCTTTTCCATTAATGAAATCCATGTGATTAATTACATCTTACATTGAATGAAAAATTAGTTAAATTAAAGCTTGGGAACAAAAAAAAACTCTATTAATTTAACAGGAATTTTGTTTGTATTTGTTGAGTGGCAAATATGCTGGACATTTAGAAATAAGTAGGATAGAGTCCTTAATGTCAAAGAACCTGCCTTTTAGTGAGCAAACAGTTGAAACAATAAAGCAAATGCGGGCCTCCCCTGGTGGCGCAGGCGCTTGAGCGCAGCGCTGTGAAGCTGCCCACAGCCTCTGCAGCGCTAGTTCAATCCCAGCCAGCCAGCGAGGGTCCCACATGGTGCGACAGACCTTTCTTGTCTTGCCTGCTGCTCCCCTCAGCAGTGTATTTCAGTCAGTCTGCCTGTTATATTCCCCACTCTGTCTCTGGTGAATCCTCTCACCCTCCCGCTAATCTGGCCTGTACCCCGGTTCTTGTATAAATAATAAATAAATAAATCTTTAAAAAAAAAAAAAGCAAATGCTTCAACAGAGCCAGGAGTGAAGTTGTGGGAGCACAAAAGACAGACAGAAGACTCCATCTGGAAGACTGAGGTTAGAACAAGCTTCTCAGAACCAATAGTAAGGCTGGAGTGAGTAGGAGTGAATCCAACAAAAAGTAGAGAAAATCTTCCAATTTCTGAATTTTGACAAATTCTGCTTCTCATGTTCAGGAATGGGACTGGCACAAGACCTCAATGGGCATTCACTCCCTATCCGGTCCCTTGCCTCACTCTAGTCCTGGCCCTGCTGATACTTTTTAAAGCATTTTAGAGGCTCTCTAAAGAGAGAAGCACATTTTAGCCCAGCAGAAACTTTTGTCCTTCCAGCAGTAGTTATAGTAATTTTCATTATTTGTTATAGTTTCATTTTCTAAAGTCATTTGAATGCTATTCTAGTGAATACTGAATCATTGCTCCTAGGGGGACTGCAGGATTCAGTTCCTACCTCTTTTCACAATATTTTCAGCACCTGATCAGTGTATAATCTTGTTTTATGTGTATTTCTACCTATGAATACTTTATTTAATAGACACTGTTGATTCATTAAAATTGAACTCAAAACCAATAGCACTATAACTGAGCGAAGCTTATCTAACACAGGTGTTTTCTCTGTCAGGTACTTCACAACCTTCTTGTACTTAGGAACACAGAATACATTCAGGGACCATTTTAAACAGAAAATTCACCACCAAAAAGTACAGAAATGTAAAAATATGAGAGAACTAGAGAGAACAAGAAAAAGGACACTTGTTCACCATATGACAGCACAATGGAAGGCAGTGCATCACATTGCTCAGCCTCTGCTGGAAACAGGTGTGGTGGACTCAGATTTTCCAGCGTTCAACACATGTCTGCAATGACCAAAAATGCCACTGGGGTTGTTTTTAATGTTATAAATCAATGTTAGCAAGTTGATGAATTTGCCAATATGGAATCCATGAATAATGAGGACCGACTATCCTGATAGTTCTACAAATCTTCATCATTCCTTCTCTTTCCTCCTGCTCTCTTTCATAGGTGAGGGGTCGGGAGACCTATGAAATGCTGTTGAAAATCAAGGAGTCCCTGGAGCTCATGCAGTATCTTCCTCAGCACACGATTGAGACATACAGACAACAGCAGCAACAGCAGCACCAGCACTTACTCCAGAAACAGTGAGTGTGTTATTTTAGGACTTTGAAGTGTGACAATTTATATGGGCTAGCAATAGGGGGATTGGTGGGTGATGTTGGAGATAAGGTGGTGAGACTGAAGAACATGATAGGTCCAGATGAGCTAGTGTGGGGCCCTTTTTCAGTTTCAACAAAAACCTGCCTTTTAAGAAGTTGCTTCTACTTTCTGAAATTGAATCCAAATCATTTCAGGTGAATTCAAAGAGACTCATACTAACAGCTCTCTTTTATATACCCTTGATCTAAGCATTTTGAGTACATACACTATACTAGTAATAATGTGAATATTTAGAAAGGTTTGATCTTCCCTTATCCCATTAGATTGCCTCATACTCTTTTGGCATGTATACCTGATCCACTTTGGGGAAAACCATTGTAGTTAGGGATAGCATATATATAAAGTGACCTCTGTGAGTGCTGTGTTAAGAAGCATTTTGAAACCTAGTGCATGTTCATTGGGAAAATCGATGGGTGTAAAAGGGGCAAAGTGGCATCACATTGCCAAATTTTAACATCCCTATTCTAGGTTGTCTTCCTGCTCTACATTTTTACATAAATTGGGCCAGATTTTGTAACCATATTGGAATATACTCAACCTATTTATATGTTAATTTTTATCTTGACTCTTGTATCTTTGATGATGTTGATTGTTTTATGACTAACCAGAATACTATAGTTCTTTTGAAAGGAAGGGAAGTTGGTGAATCAAGTTTGTTTATACTTATCCTTCTATGGTTACTAAAAATCACTTGTCATTAAGATATCTTGTCTGTACTGAAGATATTGACAGAATCTATAGATCAATGTAAAATGTATCCATTTGGGCCCATTTGAATAATTTAAATGTTTGATTTTACTCTTTAGGCAAAGTGAGATTAAACCAAAACCATCTTGTCTAAGGCAAATATTGTCTTTATAATTGAAATGCAAATGAACAATAGGTAATGGTTCTTTTCTAATTACACTTTAGCTACTAAACTGTGGTAGCTATAGAACATACGATAAAGGATAAAGAGAGCATGTTATGTTTTTTTATAATCAACATAAATACAGTTGAGGTCACCAGACTCTCTTGCTGATACCTTGAAGGGATCCCTGTGCATCCATTGACTGCAGGGTATATGTAGGGTTGGCAGCAGCAGGTTAGATAAAAAGCAGCTCTCTCTTTAAAGGCCATTAAAAAGATGAACATTTAAGACCCCTTTCTGCCTGAAAAGGATCTCACCATTTACTTCTAGCATGAATGAGTTACAAATCATATTATAAGGTTTTATAGGGAAGGCTGAGTAGAAAGTTCAATCTAGAAGTTCCTGGAAGACACAAAGTATTCCAAAAGAGAATTTAGAACCCAAATTACATGCAGAATTCCAACTGCCAATCCTTTAGATTCTTTAGGATAGCAGATGGAAATATATGTTAATATATTCAAGTGTAAACTGATATAGTCCTTATAAATCAGACAATGGTGATCAAAGAAACACACCGCTAGTATTATTTACAGACCCAGAGGGGGTAAGTGCTTTCCCCTGGATATACATAGGATAGTGTTAAGAAACATCACAAATTGTGTCCTATTCACACTGGAAATATTTGTTTTCAGCCAAAAGACATCAGAAGTGTGTTCCTATATCTCCGAATCACAATGTCGTAAGCCAATTTTACCTGAATTGAAAAAAATAAGATAAGGACTTCCGAAGAATTACACAGTAGCATATCATGCTGAAATAGTTGCTCTGTGATTTTCTTCCCTGTTTCTTTTGACTATTAGGCCAAATTGATACTTATTAAAGACTGTGACTTAATAGATCTGACTACCTAGCAATGCCAGTCAGCAAACTCTTTTTTTCTGTAAAGTACTGATAATAAATATTTTAGGTTTTCTGCTTCATATGGTTTCTTGTAGCTACTCATTTCTGCCACTGGAGTCAAAACTAATCCATAGATATGTAGTGAGTGAGAGTGGAGCAGAGAGACATTTAAGAACTTAGTTCTAACCTCTTCTTTACCTGTCTACCTACCTACCTGCCTACCTATCTGTCTATCTATATATGATAAAGTAGAGAGGTATTAAAAGGTTTTAGGAAACTCTCAAGTGATTTTAAGTTGACATTTCTAAATAAATGCCCAGCCTAATAAAAAGATGCCCGTCTTAAACAGAGATCTCTTTTATCACATATCCATCTAGACATAAAATGTAGTTAGCAGTGCAATCCTATCATCAACTAAGACTGAACTGGTTGGCTTGATTCACATAGCATAGTTTTGCTGAAGTTCTTTACATTAAAGTATTAAGGATAGAGATGAGAAAGATAGGATTCCAGCCATTCCATAGTTTAAGATTTCTTGATGAATTCTTAACTAGAACACCTTCTGAAAGTTTAAGAGTGTTCTGGAAAGTTATTCTCAGTGTCATACATGTTAGTAGAACAATTTTAAACAGTTTCTCTAAGTTATACAATAAAGGGAATAATTTAGTCACATGGTTTTAGAGATATATAAGCTAGAAGAATCAATTACAGTCAGTCAGGGACATAAGCTACTTATGTTTGTTTACATGGCGAATGTGAGAATACAGAATCCTGTATTTCTTCATGATGTTATCCAGTGCTATGTCTAAGTGGCTGACTCTAAAAGGATATTATTTTGCATTTCATATTTCATAAAACAATCTAGCTCATCAAAGAAAACTTCCATCTTTAAATGGTTAACCTTAAAAAACACAAAATATTTAGATGCTTTTTTTTTTTTTTCACTTTGCTGCATGTGTGGCCACCAATATATTGTGTGGAATTAGTAACTTATGGTTCTCTGGGGTGTCCATCTAAAAGTATCACTGCATGTTTTTGAATTGTTATCCTACAGTATATAAGAACTAACTTCAGCTGTAATAACTGTGCATGGAAATCTTAGGTTGCAAATTGCAGTCTTTACATACTATGGACATTTGGTCTAATTATGCCATTGTTACAGTTTATATGTATGGGTCTCCAATGATTGATAGACATATATATAAATCTAGTTGCTGTATTCTTTGGCTGAGTTTTTTCCAGCTCTTTTATTTTCATGCAAATCTCTAAGAAAAAACTTGAATGTCTAGTCAAAGATAAATGGGAATCTAATTCTGTAGCAATCATTTGAAAAGAATAAATCAGCTTAAAAATGCCTATAATAGTCTGTGATTTCCTTTCTAAAAACATAATACCAATTTTATACTGGTAAGGAATCAATTTTGTACTTCCCTTATAGTAGAGGGAAAATTAGTGGGTAGGGAATTTTATTCTACAAGGTAGTAATAAAATACTTATATACTTCTATTGATTAATTACTTCTATTGATTTTCCACTTTGTGTTTTTTCTCTGCTTGCTTTTCATTTGTGCATGGTTTTCCTTTTTAAAAAAATCCTTCACAATTACCTTCATGATCATAGATTTTTTTGGAGGATAAATATTACACCAAGTTTTTATGAATTAAATTGTTATAGATGTAAGAAGGCTTTACACCATTTATGATAAAATTTGATTTTAGTTCATTTACACACATTAAAAGAAACATGGGGGTAATGTTAATAGAAGCCAGAATCTAAGGTGAAGACAAATTGAACCCTTTCTTAACACTATGCTTTGTGCCTTCATATTTTAAAGAACAGTTAAGTCTTTTTTTTTTTTTGTATAACATTTTATTTTTTTTTCCCCCAGTGCTTCCATCTGTAGATTTTTTTTTAATTAATAAATTTTATTTTTATATTCCCCATACAATTGCTTAAGACAGCTTTGCAGAGCCACTTGAGACCTATTTAGGAATCTTCTGACTTGTGTGTTTTAGACCAGTGCTACTTCTTTTTCATTTTTTTCTATAGCTTATCCTATTTGTTGGCTTCCATCCTGATCTCAGACCAACATCACTTTGTTAAAATTTTACTTAGCATAGTTCTGACTTTCCTCTGGAAATTATTTTTATGTTTATACAAGATGATTTCACTTTAATTTTAATGGCAATATGTGACATTCTTAGTATTTGCCTCTATGATCACTTGATGAGTGTGGTTCAATAGTATTGCAGGGCTGAGAATACTGACGTAGAGTGGGTCTTCACAGCATTAGTTCTAGCCTCTTCTTACCATAAGTAGGAAAACTGAGACTCAATGAACTATACCTTTGTTTTCATATTCAGATCATAATAAAGCTAAAGTGAGATGTATATTTGGAAGACACAGCTCTTTGCAATGTTCTGGTCTGCCTCGTTAGTTAAGGAAGTTGTAACAATAAAACTAAAGCAAGAATCTATTCCTTTTTTTTTTTTTCTGTTTCTGCATTAGATGGTTATTTTTTCTTGTGATTCAAGGGTAAATCCTATTTAAACTCACTTCCCTATGATTTTCTTCAATATTACTGTTTTTTTCCCCAGATTCATGTATCTAAGGGAGAAGCAAGCAGTATTTCCAGGATTACCAATGTAGGGAGAAAGCAGAAGGTGCAAGTCTCTATATTACTGATAGATATGATTAATGCTCAATTTCTAGGTTTGACTTAGGAGTACACATTTCCAGAATATGTGTTTGAAATTGCCAGTTCCATAGTCAAATAGTAATTGGCAATTTTATGTAATGCAATCTTATAGTCCATAGAACTGCACTAGGTTCTAAAGGTTATGCAATCTATTTTTGAACTTTACAGCTATGTCACTAAGTTGTCAGGAAAGAGATTTATTACCTCTGAATTGATAATGAAGAAAAATACCAGATGAATTAAAATCAGATCTTAAATCACTTTTCTAAATTCTTATATCTCATTCATTGTAGAACTGATCTCATTTCTAGGTCTTGAAATTTGAACCACTATGGTCCATACCTCTTAGTCAAAACTAAAACTTGGTTTCTGCCTATTATCTCATTCATTTCTTGCTCCAAGAGAAGTCACAAAATGCAATATTCAAACAAGAAGTCAAAGCTAATGTCTTTAGTTTGGCAGTACCACTTCTTGCA